GACGATTAGACAAACATTTTCTGCCGCTGAGAGGAAACCACTGCGCATGTCCTGGAGCGCCTGCACGAGTGAAAGGTGGGAAGGGGAGAGGGGAGTAACAGAAACACGTAGTTGCTTGGATTTTAATCGGTGCGTTTTGCATCCACTGAAAACAAAGATGTTAACAAAGTGGACAGAATGCTGCACGTTTAGTGATATTTTCACAGTTGCGGTCTTGACTGGTCTTGAAATAAAATGCCGAGTCCTCAGCGCCCGAGACCGAGACCAAATGCGGTCGAGTCCGAGACGAGACCGAGACCATCAAAAAATGGTCTTAAGACCAAGACCAACTTCGAGTACCACAACACTGGTGTGCTTTATTTAATATGACAGGGAAAGAAAACAAGTTGGCATCGCCAATGAGCGGATGCTGGTAGTTACAGTCACAACATTAGCACTGTGTTGTCAGCCATGTGTTGAACAGCGCTCTGCACAGGGTGCAAATACAACACGGAAGCACGCATGGCTTCTAAAAACTTCCACAACGCCTCCGCTTTAAATGTGCCTCTCCCAGGACTGTTCCTACACCTTTAATTGAAGGAATAAAGAAGCCTTGTTTGACTGCTGGAAACGAAGCGTTCACTGGATGAATGAAAGCCAAGCAACCAGGAGCAGCCGGCGTCCAGGTCCGCCTGAGGAAGGTCGCTCCGCAACGAGGGCTCCACTGGTTGCGGAGCCCTGACTAAAGCCGCTCTCAGCTAATTGTAGCGGAATAACGTCAACTTAGCCCAAGTTGACCCGGAGCTAACCTCGAAGAAATAAAGCGTTGAAAACAATATCTAGAACATGTCATCTCTGCGATAAGACGGAGCGTCTCAGAGTTACCAGTCAGGACGATCTGATCATGCCCTCCAGACAGTCCGTGGCCTCTCTGGACGCCAGCTGAAAACATAAGGACACTCCGTCCAGGAATTAGGCTAACGTTACCATGCTAGCACAGGGGAGAGGAAATATGGCGACACAACAAGAGACTGACTCCACTGAAATAGTTTGTTTTCTTTACTGAAGGATGCGACTTTTTATTTTTATTTTCCCTGGAGTTTCACAAATTAGCAATTAAGACGTGGTGAAGAAACGAAGGAAAACCTACCTCTGTGTTTTCACGAGCTGAGTTTATAGAAACGGTAGCAATGGCGACGCGGCCTGTAGATAGCAGCGGCAGTGAAACCCACAGTCAGGCCGTTCCATCCAACGGCGGTCGCGGCTCTAGCTGAACCGAGTAAAAGTGACCGACTGGTATCCAGGGCGACAGAGATTGTTCCTGTGGTTCTACGTATATATGGGAACAACTACTGACCGTTTGGACAACGAAATATCAGTAGGAAGTGACACAGGTCAGCGGCAGCTAGGGATTCTCTTCCCCCACAACAATGCAGCTGTAATCGCCACGCACCTACGTCATCACGTAAATGCGTACGACAGGAAGTCTTTTCTCGGAACGCGAGAGAAAAACAGTACATAGACATAATATAAGGATAGACCCTCATGGACCGCTCTCGCCTATTGTCGCTGACGAGATTTAGGGCGGCCATCTTGGAGCGGTCCACCACTCCACTCAGCGTTATGTGTTTAACAAGCACAATGACGTATCAGCGCATTTAATCGATCATAACACACTTTTTTGTTACTGTAAACCATATTCAAACATCTATCAAAGCTACATTTATAAACAATTGTATTTTTAAGTATGTTTTTAATACATAGTTCATCATATTTAAATATGCTTAGTGGCTATAACAATAGAATAGGAATGGAATATTCTGATATCGATGTATGAAGAGCATATTATAAAGCACACACCCGTTCATAATTTATTTAATAAATTATTTAGTAATATCAATATATATTTATATAACTATACAAACACTAATAAATAAAGATTAATAATGGCACAAGGGGGCGCTAGTGAGCACCGTATGGAGTAGACGTGTTTTTTCTGGCTCCTCACCACTTAAAAATAATTTCATATTT